AAAATCAACCCTCTCAGCTGAAACCGGGACAGGGTTATATAACGTACAGTCTGTTAGCTGAAGCTAATCAACTCGGTTTAGATACAGATTTCCCATCTGTACTATCTTTCACAGTTGCTTCTCTGCACAATACAGAAAAAAGGAAGGAAGCTATTAATATCTGTCTTTTGTTCCTCCTCACCAATTGTTGTATTTGTTTGTTATAAAAAATGATATGCGGGTACTCTTCAACAGCTATTATAAGGCCAGAGTAGCACAGATGTATATTTATAGCAGTAGATTTACAGGAATATGTGCTACCTGAGGAAAATATTAAAAGAACTCTTAATTTTGACCTTTTGAATGCTTTGTTGATCATGAAGGATTTAAGTTGTTCATGGTTACTGGTTTTGTTAGGGTTAAATATGCATATAATAATAATAATAGGTTGAGTAAACAGTTTTATACAGTGACTAAAGTTGAATAGATAATATGAACAAAATTTCGAGATGTCACATCTATTGCACATCAAGGAAATAAATTGCAAATTAAATAAAAACAATCATAAAATACTGGTCTAGATCAGTTAACATTCTTTGTTCTAATTTTGACCTTCTCAGTATTTTACCGTTATAAAAAAACTGAATTTCTAATTGAAAATTCTTTAAGAAATCAAGATCTTCAGAAATGTTGTCACTTATGAGTGATTGGTGGGTGTTAGGGGGAGTTGTTTGTTTGTTTTTATAAAAGTACTAGTATTTTAAAAAACCCCAAACAGATCCCCTTCTTACCCTTAAGAGACCTGTAAGCATACTTTAGTTACATCATGGCATTCAAATGACATGATTGTCTGGGATTGGTGAAAATGTGGAGGCTCTTCACCTTCACAACTATTTGAAGCCAGGTTGTAGTATGTAGTATTAGGGTCAAGGTGTCTCTTGTGAATGTTACTTGTTTAATTGTAGATTATGGATGTGGGGTGGCCTGATCTCCATGCTCCGCCTCTTGATAAGGTGTGCACCATCTGCAAGGCTATGGAGTCATGGCTGAACAACGATCCCCAACATGTGGTGGTGATCCATTGCAAAGTAAGTGAGCTTTGTATATACACGTTGCCTATCAGTTTGTATTCATTTTCAAAAACCTTTTCCTTTATTCTTACTCATTTTAAAAAAGTAAAAAAGGAAATTGATCTGCTCTCAATGTTGGAAACAGCGTGCCACATCTTCAGTTGATTTAAGTAAGCTTAAATCCACTGACCTTGCATGCTTGTTATATATTGCTTTTCATGATAACTAAGGTTCTAGCCTCTGCTCTGGGTATAGCATGCAGTCATGTTAGTTCACTTCCTGCAAAAGTTGGTACTACTTCTGTGAGCGTATTTAGAAGCTTGAAGTTTTTCCAGCTCAATAGCAAACTCTTTAGAAGCTCTTCATGTTCCGTGGCATTCATCGATTTTGTTGCAGGATAAGGATAGGCAACATATTACAGATCATCCCTTTAGATTGTCGTATGGCTGTAGGAAATGAGGGCATTGAGTACCTCCTGGGTCCTTCTGACAGGTTCTGACTGCCAACATCATTGCAGTGCCTTACAGCAAAGCCACCATTGTGCAGTGTTAATTCTTCTCCTTGCTTGCTCACAATGAAGAGGTACAAAGAGAAGCCTTAATGTGGTGGTTTAACCTAGGCTGGATGCCAGGTGTCCACCAAGCCACTCTATCACTCCCCGTGCTTCTCTAGACAGGGGAGAAAAGGTATAACAAAATGCTTGTGGGTTGTGATAAGGACAGGGAGAGATCACTCACTACTTATCGTCAAGGGCAAAACAGACTGAACTTAGAAAATTAATCTAATTTATTACCAAGCAAAACAGAGTAGAGCAATAAGAAATAAAATCAAATCTTAAAACACCTCCCCTCACCCCTCCCATCTTGCTGGGCTTAACTTCACTCCTGGTTTTCAACCTACTTCCCCCTCAGCGGCACAGGGGATGGGGAATGGGGGTTACAGTCAGTTGATCACACGTTGTTTCTGCCGCTCTGTCCTCCTCAGGGGGAGGACTCCTCTCATTCTTCCCCTGCTCCAGCGTGGGGTCCCTCTCGTGGGAGACAGTCCTCCACCAACTTCTCCAACGTGAGTCCTTCCCACAGGCTGCAGTTCTTCATGAACTGCTCCAGCGTGGTTCTCTTCCATAGGGTGCAGACCATCAGGAGTAAACTGCTCCAGCGTGGGTCCCCCACGGGGTCACAAGTCCTGCCAGCGAACCTGCTCTGGCGTGGGCTCCTCTCGCCAGGGGTCCACAAGTCCTGCCAGGAGCTTGCTCCAGCGTGGGCTTCCCACGGGCCACAGCCTCCTTCAGGTGCCTCCACCTGCTCCGGCGTGGGGTCCTCCACAGGCTGCAGGTGGAATCTCTACACCCCCTCATCCTTCCTCCATGGGCTGCAGGGGGACAGCCTGCCTCACCATGGTCTTCACCACGGGCTGCAGGGGAATCTTGCTCCGGTGCCTGGAGCACCTCCTCCCCCTCCTTCTTCACTGACCTTGGTGTCTGCAGAGTTTCTTACATCTTCTCACTCCTCTCTCTGGCTGCAAAAGCTCCCCCTAAGTTGTTCTTTCCCTTCTTAAATATGTTATCACAGAGGCGCTGATTGGCTTGGCCCTGGCCAGCGACCG